GCATTTCCATTGTTATGCTATCCCAGTCAGTGGGTAAGAAGGTCAGCTGTCACTTTTATTGCAGCCAGTAGTGAAAGCTTAGGTGCTGTAGATTCCTATGTCTTTCTAGCCCCTGTTATTCGGCCCTTACTCCGCAGACAGCCAGCATCTCTTGCTTCTGAAAAGGCTCTCCTTTCGTCTTTAAAACCTCCAGTCTCAAGACAGGTTTTTTACCAAGTTCTAGAAAATGCAAGGAGTTCAGACATGTTGGAAAGACAGAGAAAGATATGGTACAACTCTTGGCCTCAGTCTAAACAATGGGAAAGTGTTGATGTACTTCAGCAAGGGGTTGAGGAACTGAGTTCAACAAGGAGCTGGCCAGACAAGCACCAGAGTCCTGAAAATCATAAACTTACCGGAAAGGCCTTGCAACAAGGAGAGTTAACTGAATGTGATGATGGTGAGGATAAGTTGGGAAGTATGGGAAGCTTTACACGCGCTTCTAGTACAGTTGACATTCACGATCCTTTGTCCTCTGAAAAAATGCAATTTTCAGGCTTTATGTGGCCACAGGGAAGTTATGTGAATAGCTTCATGTGCGATAAATCATCAGTTGGCATACCTTTATACTCCTTTAGCATGGACAAGCGAGCAGCGGGAGTTTCTCCTCCAGCATCTGATTCTCCTTCACAAGTGAATTCAGTAGGAATTGGTACATCATCCATGCCTTGGATAGAGCCAGTAAATAAATCATTTAGTTTGGCTAGTTCTGTTCCAGCACCTAAGCTTGTGTCAGGATCATTCAATTTTGGCAATGGCTCCAAACAGTTCTATAGAGTTGTACATGAGCCTGATGGTAGGGATAATGATCAAACCACCTTTGCTAATAGCAAGCTTCAAAATATGGGATTATCTGGCACTACAAAAGGAAGTGCCATACCCTTGGACGATGCATCCACTTCAAGTGATCCAACAGGAATGCCGTCTTCTGCACGAAATTCATCAATTCCAGACTCTGGTTGGAGGCCTCGTGGGGTGTTGGTTGCTCACCTGCAAGAACATCGGTCTGCTGTCAATGACATAGCCATTTCAACTGATCATAGCTTTTTTGTGAGCGCATCTGATGATTCCACTGTTAAGGTGTGGGATTCAAGAAAGTTGGAAAAGGACATATCATTTCGGTCAAGGTTGACTTATCATCTAGAGGGAAGCCGTGCACTGTGCAGTGCAATGCTCCGGGGGTCTGCTCGAGTTGTTGTAGGAGCATGTGATGGCATGATACATATGTTTTCTGTTGATTACATCTCCAGGGGACTTGGTAATGTGGTTGAAAAGTATTCAGGTGTTGCTGATATCAAGAAGAAGGATATAAAGGAGGGTGCCATATTGAGCTTGTTAAATTTCTCAGCGGATAACTGCACAAATCAGATGGTTATGTACAGCACCCAAAATTGTGGTATCCATCTTTGGGATACAAGGTTGAACACCAATTCTTGGACATTGAGAGCAACTCCTGAGGAGGGCTATGTGTCTTCGCTGGTAACAGGCTCCTGTGAAAATTGGTTTGTGTCAGGATCTTCGAGGGGTGTGCTTACTCTTTGGGATATGAGGTTCCTTATTCCTGTAAACTCATGGCAGTATTCTTCTGTTTGCCCAATAGAGAAAATGTGCCTTTTTCTTCCTCCACCTAATGCCTCCGTGTCTGCTGCTGCAAGGCCCCTTATTTATGTTGCTGCAGGTTGCAACGAAGTTTCTCTTTGGAATGCTGAAAATGGAAGCTGCCACCAGGTACATAAAAATTCTCTTTTATTGGTTTGCACACTTACACAGAAATCATCTTATATAAGTTTTCTTAGATATTAGATATGGATTGTACTGGAAAAGTTAGATGATAAAATCGTATGCATAGATTACACTCCTCTGGTTGCCCTTTTTTTCAAAGCGTAAAAACAAAGAAAACTGAAAGCAAAGATCAGATCTTATTTTATAAAAGCAGGATGGGGTTTGGGCAGAAATCATGAATTGGAGAGTTAAGAGGCATTTTGTGGTTTCATCCATGCACTCTCTTTTAGGTTAAAATTGAAGGATTGTTGGTTTTACTCTGTGGTTTACCAAAATTTCCAACTTCTTTTCTTCAGACTAGCTGAATGATATATTAGTTTCTTGTAGTCCGATTTTTATTTTACTGATTCTTGATGACTCCTAGAATCAGCCCCCTGCTTCTCCCTCGCCCTCATGAACCCCATAACCAATAGAAATGCAAAACTTGAGGGTGCTTAAGATTGGATTATGCAAATTTTTACTTTGGAGATGGTAATTTGTTGATTAAGAAAAAGGTTAAATTTGTGTAGACAAAACTATCAAGTGCCTCTTGGCCCTTGGATGGTCTGTTCAGCCTTTGAGTTTTACCAAACCTTTTAAATGCTTATTATTTCTCTCTCTTTTATTTTTTATTTTCATTGCCTACACATGGCCCCTTTTTTGTTAAGTCTACCTTCGTTTGTTCAAATGTTGAGATAGATGTTCATTTTTTTTCCTGCAGGTGCTGAGAGTGGCAAGTTACGAAAGTGATGCTGAAATTTCTGAAGTGCCTTGGGCCTTGGCTAAGTCATCAAGTAAAAGTTCCAAATCAGATCTGAGACGGAATGGCAATTCCCACTACAGAGTTGATGAACTAAATGAACCCACTCCTCGTCTTCCTGGCATCCGTTCATTGCTGCCCTTACCTGGGGGTGATTTGATAACTGGAGGAACCGATTTGAAGATACGTCGATGGGATCATTACAGGTTTGTACACAAGTTCAATAGTACTTTCTTGGTTTACTAAAGGGTCTTGTTATCCAATTGGCTTTATCCATATATTGCAGCCCCGGTCGAAGTTACTCAATTTGTGGGCCAAACTTGAAGGGAGTTGGTAATGATGATTTCTATGCAACAAGATCGAGCTTTGGTGTGGAAGTTGTGCAGGTATGATTAATCAGTTGTAGTCATATATCTATGAAATGAGGTGGCATGGTAAACTATCCTCGGTGGAAGGGTATGATGAGGTTGATCTTAGATTATTTAACTTTATCCTCCTAAAACCACAGTTAACGTAAAATGACTTGGTAGTTTCAAAGAACCTTCATGGAACTGGCAATAGGATGTGCTTGCTGTTATAATATTTCTTTTATAAGCTGCTTAAACTTTATGTCGCAGGTCGTTCTATTGTGTTCTTGGTCTCGGTGTTTGCGTTGTAACAAATAGGACACTAGATCAGTTGCTAAGTTGAAGAAAATTACTATTATTATTTTAATTTGGTACGTAATTCTTGAATTGGTTTTTGGTTTAAATATAGGAGACAAAAAGACGACCTCTAACATCAAAGCTGACAGCCAAGGCAGTTCTTGCGGCTGCTGCCACTGATTCTGCTGGCTGCCACCGCGATTCAATCCTATCATTGGCCTCGGTTAAGTTAAATCAGAGACACTTAATATCAAGCGGTAGAGATGGGGCAATTAAGGTTTGGAAGTGATTGACAAGGTGATAGATATTATGTTGTACATACATAGCACAATGCTAGTGTTGTTGTACATTATTGTTAAGCTTAGACTCCCTATTTTAACAGTTGCCTAACCCCTCGTCATATATATGTTTGTGTCACACCCTGCTCGATATGTATAGCTTGTACACATGTAAATTATTGATGACGTGCCTCCCTTTGTTGATATTTACTGTGGAAATGCTTGATACAGGATTGTGTAAATTTGGGCATAGTTGCGATTCCAGGTTCAAATTTTCTTTCATATTTACTGTTGTATTGCATCTGGAAAGAATATGGTTTCGATGGTATTGGTTCTTGCCGTTTTCTGCTTGCAAAGTTTGAATTTTGAGATTCATATGGTAAGAATGTCCTATTACCAGTCCTGTTCTCTTTGACTCCATGGTTGAAGGAAATTGTGGTCACTTACCGATCGGTCCTAATAGACCAATGCATGGTCATTTTAACTTTGTTGTTGTACTTTTTTCTCCACCTTGGATTAAGATCGAACGGTCAGTGATCATAATATTCTTGGACCATTGGGTTTAGGAGAACTGGCCTCGTACTTCTACGGAGTGTACTTTTTCATGGTTTGGGAGTTAAACTCCACGTATTGCTTGACGTATAACATATAGTGGATTTGTTTTTGTCTTTTGTTGAATCTTTTTCATGTCTCAATATAATTTGATACGGCAATGATTTTTCAAAACGGGAACAATGCAGCCTCTTGAAATGTATACTTTTCAAATCTTCGTAGGAAGGAAAATTACTAAACCAGCATGATAAAAGCAATCCTTCAAGGGCATCTTCAATCGTTTTCGGAACCTGTAAATATGAGTTCCACTTCAATGGAAATATGTAGATTGAAGTTGGGTATTTTGTATCCCGTTGATTAGATTTCTAGCCAACAAGAAGAAAAGGAGGAGGCAAGGAGGAAGGACGAAGATAAGAAAAGAAAAGAAAAAAAAAAATTCACAACCCAGTTCGTCGCCCAACCCCCCTCACAGCGACCAATCCGTTACATTTTTTGCCACATGACACATATTTGGTAGCCACATGGTATATATAGATGAAAATATAACATATGTATTATTTTGAAATAAAATATTACTTAAGGTATGAAAGTGAAATATTTTGAAGATATTGTAAGCAATTGAAATAGGCTCCAAACCTGAGGTATGAAAATGTAATTTTACTCTTACAGTAAATATCAAATAATAAATGTGATTATATTAACCGTAGATAAAAGTAGATAATAAATTTTATTAGATTAACCGTAAATAAAATTCAAAATATTTCTTTTTAATTTTTAATTTTTAATTTTTAATTTTTCTTTTCGGTTACTTGAGGATGGTGGATGCTCGAGAAAGAAAAGAAATATTTCTACTTTTTCTTTTTCCTGCTTTCCTGCTTTCCTGCTTTCTTCTCTCTTTCAATTATTTCTGGCTTCTTGCTGGTTCTTCTGGGACCAAACAAGTTTGGTATTAATACTTCCATTCTTCCTTTCCCAAAAACCCTAATTTCAAGGATCAAATCAAATACGAACTAACCGATCATTCATACCGATTATATAATTAACAAAAATGGTGTCGGCGGACAAGGACATGGTGGCTTACTGCTTCGATACTCTCCTCGCTCACTACAGCACCGAACAACCTCCTCCCCCACCCTTCGACGACGGCCAGCAGTACTCTCTCTCTCTCTCTCTCTCTCTCTCTCTCTCTCTCTCTCTATACACACACACACGCACACGCACACATATACATAATACAATCTCACTCAAAAGCACGCAGATACACAATTTCTTTTCAATTTTATTATATATAATTTTTCTAGAAAAATCTGTTGTCATGGTTTTACTTGTGCTGCAGATTCTTGAGATTGCATTTAGTGGGAGGGCTTCATTTTTTTATTTTATTTCATAGATAGATTTTACTATAATTCTGTTTTTATTTTTCTTCTACTATGAACTACAATTATATATAAAAAAAAATTATGTTTAATGATTGAACCAGTCTCAGTGGCTTTGCTTAGATCAAGATGATTTTCTCATGCCATTGCTGAATTTTCCCAAAGTACATTTGCTCAAATATATAAAAAAATAATAATTTATGTTTAATGATTGAACTAATCTCAGTGGCTTTGCTTAGATCAAGATGATTTTCTCATGCCATTGCTGAATTTTCCCAAAGTACATTAGCTCAGCCATGTACAGTGCAGCTTATCTGTATTGGCATCCAAAACAACATTCATTTTCGTCAGTCATTATGAGTGTGGTGTTGGAAGGCCTCGTGGATTGGTCCCGTGTTTTCGTAATGGGGGATAGGATGGATGATTAGTTCGATACTTGATTGAAGCCCATTTAAATTAGGTAATCTGCTTCAATATGCAGGAGAAGGTAGAGCCGTGGAGGCCCTTTATCGGAGCCTGCTCGGTGTGCTGGCTTAGCTTCTAGCATTGGCTTTGTGATCGTCTATGAGAATGAACTTGTTGAGTGAATCGTTCCTATTTTTGCAGTGTTGTTATTTTTATATGAAGGTGCAGTCATTTGCAAAAGCAAGAGCACAGTTTCAGTTTGTGTTGTGTCTGTGACTATTAGTCTCCTAGACCCCATGGTTCAAGGAAATTGCGGTCGCTCACTGTTCGATCTTGATCCCAGTGGAGGAAAAAGTATAGCAACAAATGTTAAATGACCCACAATTTTCTTGGACCATGCAGGACTCCTATAACTATTTTTTCCCTTGTTCTTTTATGTATTTTCTTGGGCCAGACAAAGGATAGATAGATCTAATAATTTTCTCGTACCAGTTATGACATTTAGGGACTAGAAGTTTTGAACTTGACACCTTCTCTTTAAAAGAGTGGTGTATGTACCAACTAGGCTATACGTCTTGCAGTTTCTTTTACCAATACTTGGTTTGAGATTTATTTGCTTTTTGTTTAAATATTGCATTGACTCCAATTATGTGGCATGTGCTTTTCATATTACCCTTTGTCGTTGGGGTTATGAGTGATAAATAGCCAGAAATATTAGTTTCATGTTTCCTTCTGCAAATAGAATCTATATGTGTGTGTGTGGTTGGAAATGTGTGGGTGAAGTTGGGAACTTAACTTGTAGACTTGCATAACAATCGTAAGAGTATGGATTGCTTTATGTTTTATAAAGCAGGACATTGATTCTTTCGATGTTCTTATCTGACATTAACAATGCTTTGGTCTCAGTCCATTGTTCGTTACTTGGAAGAAAGTGGTGAATGGTGGTGAGCCTCGTTTGCGTGGATGCATAGGAACACTAGAACCTCGGGGCCTGATTAATGGATTCAGGGATTACGCTCTAACCAGGTATTATAACAACTCTTGTACTTTTCATCTTGACTGTATCATATGTGGTCCTACATGTACATAGAGTACTATCTCTGCATGTTTTCTTTCCTGTGTTATTTGAGATGTGTTTGGCGGCCTACACCTATGTGATCTACGTACATGTGCTTGTGTATTTTTGGGCATGCTTGTTTGGGTTTTCCTTTTATGTTTTAAGGAAACTTTCATTTATTGTTTTAAATCATGAACCATGTGTCTGAACTCTGAAATCATAATTTGTTCGTGGAAAAGCATTTTGTTCAGTATTATGATGATCCTATGAGTGGTTGTGTGTGTGAAAGCACGTGTATGTGTCTAGTGATTGAAGAACTGTAAAGGAGATGGGCTAGAAATTGAGTTGAAATTAGCGAAGCCCACATCAAAAGGGTGCTCAAGGTTGCTACCTCAGCCTTTAGAGGATTTAGTTACCAATTACCTCCCTTATAATTATGCATCTAAATTCCCTTTAGTTAGCTATCATCTAAATTCCTTCTAATTTGTGTGTTATGATGATTTTAGCCTTGCTCAAATAGTGCATGGTTTTTTTTTTTTTGCTGGAATTAAACTAAGATTAGGATTTATACGTTGCACTAAATAATACACTTGGTCGTTAAAAGAGAGAGGTAATGTATGCAATCTTGTTTGGTGATGTCACAAGGTCGAATCTTGTACTACATTTCTTGGTAGGATCCACATTCTTGATCTTCCTGGTATTGGTCACATCACGTTTTTGATGTTTCACAAGCATTCTCCGCTGTATGAACCTTTGGAACCTTAATTTTCTTTAACTCTACCCAGTCCCTACTCCAGTAATAACAAATCAATATGCTTTGATCTTCAATGAAATACTTGATTCTTGACTTATAAAATAGCACTTAGACTGTCACATTTTATCATCATGGAACTATTCTACAGTGTTGCTTTCCTGGATTTGCTATATACTTGGGAACAACGCTTATTGCTTGAGCTAGGACAGGGCTTGTGTAAACCACCGAATACATGAGACATCCAACTGCATTTGCATAATGCACTTTATTTTCCTCTGCTGATGTGGGGTTTTCTATTCTTTCTGATTTTTTTTTTTTTGGTGCAACATATAATGGTTTCTTCCTGTTTGTAATTTTCTGCAGTGCTTTGAAGGACCGGAGGTTTTCCCCAATACAAGCTAAGGAGATACCTCATTTGGAATGCACAGTTTCCATTCTGACGGATTATGAAACTGCTAGCCACTATCTTGATTGGGAGGTATGTTTCAAGTTCTTCTGCTGCTGGGATGTTTGTGAGGATCTTTAATGTTTTGGTTTAATCAGCTATTTTTTATGGTATACACTGGGTTTCATTGTTTAGATTATGTTTGTAATAAACTCTTGTTTTTAGATTAATGAATAGAGATACCAGTTGGAAAAGGCTTTGTTGTTAGTTTGTTTGAATAGAGATACCAGTGTTTTAAAAAACACGCCTAGGCAGCTTCGGAGGCGCGCCCATGAAAACGCCTCTGCCCAGCCGGAGTAGGCTTAAACTCGCCTAGATGTGGTTGAGGTGCGACTAGGCGCTTGAGGCGTTTGACTGGGCATCTTTTGTTTTTTTTTTTCAAGTTTCCAAAATCTGAATTTTTCTTAGTTGTAATCTGAAAGTTTTTTAGTTGCAGAGCCCGTTGCGCTTCAAAGAAGATGAAGAAGACGGTGTCGTTGCGAGTGGTTTTTTTTTGGGCTGATTTTTCGTGTTCTTTATACTTTTTCTTTCTCTTTAAATTGACCTACTTTTGCGGACATTTGTTACCCCACCATATTCCTTATGGTTAGACATTTTTTTAGTATTATTTTATAGATCTGAAAAGACTGAAAATAAGACATTTCTATAAAAGCATCTTGTAACATTATATATTCTTTTCTTAAAAACGTGATTGGCCAGCAGGAAAAAAAATAAGCATCTTTTTTATTAATTATTTTTTTGTAACACTGTATTACTATTTGCCTAGAAAAAAAGTTATATTATCCTTTTTTTTTTTTTTCTCTATTAAGACTATGTATCCCACCAAAATATTATATATACATACATATTAAAAATTTAGGTCCCGTGAGGATTTGCTTCATGTCTCAAGGCTTTCACTTAGGCAGGGCTATCCATGGTAGCCCCGCCTACGCCTTTGCCTTTAAAACATTGATGGATACTAAAGTTTTGTTTGCTCGCTTATCATGACTACTAAACATTGCAGATTGGGAAACATGGTATAATTATTGAGTTTACTGATCCTGACTATAATACAAGGCGCAGTGCCACGTACTTGCCTGAGGTTGCTGCCCATGAAGGTAATTCTCCCTACTCATTGTTTACCTAAACATAGACCTTTTTCAAATTTATGAGCAAAATAAGTTATAGACTATAGTACTATCTCGGAAAATTCTGGCGATACAACCTCAACGCTGACCTTTGAAATGGAATTAGAATTGGAAAATGCGATCTTTTATTAACTCACTTCTTTGCTTAGTTCTCCAAATTCTGCTCTGTTAAGAAAATTACAATTATATCTCATGATTTTTTTTACACATCCTTTTATTTATTTTTAAATTAGTCAAAAGCATACCGCTGCTCTGGCCCTAAGACAGTCGCCTGTGATGGGCCCCTCAAAGGGGCATAGGAGTACACTTTGAGGCCCTGATGACGAAGAAGGTGAGTGATTAAAATTTACAAAAATAAAGTGACTAAAAAGTCCTGCATTTTTGACAAAGGTCCTTTGAGTGGGTGAACCAATAGCTAAGTTTATTGTGTTTATATTTTGCTACTTATTTATATTCTTCTTTGTTAATTGAATAGGTCGTCATAGTACCAAAAGAACCAAACCAATATTTTTCTATAGATTTGGTATTAGCGGCAACAACCACCAGAAGCTTTATTCCACTAAGTGAGGTCGGTTGTATGAATCCTAGAATGACACTGTGCTCGATTATGTATAAGTAGCAATATACATATTTTTAAGTAAAGGTATAAAACTGAGTTAAAGTTAGTCAGGGGCCAAAAATCGTCTAGGAGAGGGGAAGTTTTTGTTTTCCAACTTTTTGAATAGTTGGGTAAGGTTTTCAAGGTACGGTTCAAATGGGTTCATACGGATGATTCCTTCATCTAGTATTGTGTTGTAACTTCACTGCAGCCATACATTAGTGTCACTGCTTGAGTCTTGTTGAAGTTTAAGATATACAAGGATTTAGGGCATAGGATTTGGGTTTGAGTATTTTGAACTTTAAAGCATAGAAACTAAGTTCAAAATCTAAGCCTTAAACAGGTTCGAAACATTAGAGAAATAACTGAGGTAAGCTGTTACTACGACTCAGTGTTCGATGGTTTGAACGACATGGTAGCCCAAACTGATTCCCTGTCCTACTTGTTGTACTTAACCTTGAACAATTCTTATACGTCTGCTATGTCTAAAAAGAAAAACGACATAGTTTTAATGCAACTAAAACAACATAGTTTTATAAACTCAATTTTTCTTACGGAAACTAAAACGACACTATCTTTTATGGACAAGGCTTTAACGCGATGGATTGAGTTGTAAATTTAGTTGGCATAGGGTTACCTATTCCCATGCTTTAATGTATGCTTTATGATTTCCTCTGTTGCTCATCCACTGAATAGAAGTCAGGTGATATTATATTTCAAAATATGCATTGCAAACAGTTCCTTACTTCAGTTTGGAACAAGGATCCAATTGCAGCTAGGTTTCTAATGGAAATTATGGCACGCAATGCGATGTGTGGGCTGTAAATCACATCATCAAGCTGGAATTTCGGTGCAAATTTGTGTTTGGTTAATGTTTTGGTTCTTAGTCTGGTCTGATTTGGTTTCAGGTTGGACAAAAACAGAAGCAATTGACTCATTGATGCGGAAATCTGGTTATAATGGCAGCATCACTGAGCCTGCTTCGGAAGAGTATTCGATTGACCCGCTACCAGAGCTCATTGTGTACCATGGACCACAACGACTATGTTTCCTACGTCAAGGAAACTAGAGGCGGAGCTCCGACTCTTGTCGGAGCTATATCTGGCAGTCGTTGACCAACTATGAACTACGCTAAAAGAAAGCATTTGGTTTGGAGGGGTGGATTTGTTTGTTGTTCCATAACCATTGCAGACTCCAATAATGGTGACAATTATCATTCTTCAGATTCTTCGATTTTTGAAGAAAGAAATCAGACACTTGAACTCAGCTTCTCCCGAATGCTATGTTGTACTTTTATAAACTTGTAACTCAATTTCCCAAAAATTAGTACATATTGCATGTATAATTTTATGTACTTTTGACTCCACACCCTGAGAAAAACTTATATGGCAGAGGTAAATTGTCTCCAATGCCAATAAAATGAGGACACGTGGTTTAAAACATACACGTCTTTGTTTCATTGGCACGGCGATCTACAATCTACTTGTGCTATATAAGTCATCGTTCGTCACCCTAACTAGGGGTGGGCAAACGGCTATAGGAACCGCGGGTTGGGGGTTCAGGGCGGGTACTGGTTTCTAATTTTAAAATAGAGAAACGGGACAGGGTGGGGTTTTGAAATTTTAGGTTCAAGCCGGTTCAAAAAATATAGGTAAACAGGTACCCGGACTGATCTGTTTGCAAAAATACCCCCGTGTTGGGTACTGTCTCCCAGACCCATTTCCCTTTTTCCTCCCCGTGACAGTTCTCATTCTTGAGAACACTCCACACACACACGCACCCCACTTCCTTTTCTCCCTCATTCCTATTCTTTGTTTCTTCTCTTCCCATCTCTGCAACTATCCTTCCCGTAGCACAAACACACCACACTCACACCCCACCTCGAGAAGAAGACTTATGTCGCGCCGGTGTCGAGATCCGGTTAGAAGCTTCAACAGCGGCTACCGCAAACGGCGTTGTTCGAAGGCGGTCTCGGCCAAGCTGGAGACGCTGTAGACCCTCTTTAATCCGACCAACGTCAGAAAATCGCTAAAAGTCGACAAATCGTTCCAGGAAACGGCGGATTACATCGTTCTGCTGCGCACCCAGGTCATGATTTTGCAGGGACTCGTCGGAAAATGTTGCTGCTGTACCATAATAGTTCAATATCTTTTAATTTGTCAATGCAAAAAAAGAAAATGAAAAAAGATTGGTTTTTTTGGGATCAGCAGATGGGTTACAGTTCGGAGGATTTGCTCAAGGCGTCGGCGAAGACGCTGGGGAGGGGAACGAATAGGATACGAAGACCAGACTTAGGTTAAGCATGAGTGAAGATTTGAACCCGTGGGGACCGTAGGAATTGGTCCGTTTCAACGGTTCGGTTAGGTCCGGATCCCATTTTGAAAACTCCAAAACCTGTCCCGTCCCGTTCCGTTTATATTTACAGAAGGTTCCAGTCCGGTTTTTTCAATTTCGGCCCGGCCCGGCCCATGCCCATTCCTAATTTTCACCCCTTAAATTATCTATCTGTTTCAAGTTTCAACATTTATTTCTTGAGAGACACGCATACACAAAGAAACAATTCCTCAATTTTCTTTACACTCAACCAAACCAAGTTCAAAAAAGGATGGTTTAATTTTTCTTAATACATTTTTCTCGCGTGGCTTCTCCCTCGTTTTTCAACCGGGCCATTGACAATGTAATTGCCCTGAGTCTAGTAATTATAAAAATTTAAGGAGTAATCGGTTAAAATTAAAGTTCAGAAGAAAATTGATTAATTATAAAAGTTTAAAAGAGTAATAGACCAAAATTAACGTTTGAAAAACAATAAAAATAAAAATAGTCAGTTCCTTACAAGTTCGAAGAGACAAGAAATCGACAAATACAAACAACTTGTTCGTAGTTTAAGTTCTTATTAAGAGGATCAATTTGAAACAGATAGATAATTTAAGGGGTAAAAATAGAATGACAGTTTTAACCTTTTGCTGGAAAAGATGTCGTGATCGAGTTGAGGAATCTAATACATGCCAGACCTGGAAATGTCAGTCACAATTGCTACATTTATTTACCAAAAAACCAATAAAAACCAATCTGACTTCCGATTTCCCCAACATCCATTTTCCAGGTCTTCAACTTCCAGACGAAGCAAACTTCCCCTTAAATCCATCTCTCTCTCTCTCTCTCTCTCGGATTGATCTGACAAGTAAGTTCCTCCTTCCTCCCTATCTCTCGGTGTTATTTGCAGATCAAGATGTAATTTCATTTCATTTTTTAAGATTTGCAAATCAAGATTTTACAATCCCCATTTCTTTGGGACCCTTAATTTGTCTAAATCGCATATCCTTTTCGTTTTCTCTGTTTGGTTGCCGAAATTGGAAGGTTATGATTGGTTTAGTGACGACGGTGGGTTTCAAGCACATCGAAAGCCCATCTAATTGAAGTTAGTATTACAGTTAATTATTGACTCAAACATTTGAATACTCACGCTCGAATTTTAGAATTTTACTTGGGCCGTGGCGGGTTTCTCGTATATGATAAGCTAATTGTGTGTATTTTGGTTTAGGGTATTTGATACTTTGTGTAATTTCTCTAGGTTTACTGCTGCGTTTAGGTACTGGTGATATTTCTTTCGTGGGGTGTTCGTGCGTTTGAAGTGATAATTCAGATATGAGTCACAGGGGATTAATATATAGCTTTGTTGCAAAAGGCAGTGTTGTCTTAGCAGAACACACTACCTTCACCGGAAACTTTAGTACCATTGCTGTTCAGTGTTTGCAGAAGCTACCTTCCAGTAGCAGCAAGTACACCTACTCGTGCGATGGCTACACTTTTAACTTCCTACTTGACAGTGGATTTGGTACGCATTCTTTCTTAAGTTCCGAGAATCGCAATTATGCTTGTTTTAGATACTAGTTGCAGAATGTGTAATTTAAACTGCTAAATGGGTTTGCAGTGTTTCTTGTTGTTGCTGATGAATCGGCTGGAAGGAGTGTGCCTTTTGTGTTCCTTGAACGAGTGAAAGAGGATTTCAAGCAGCGGTATGCTGCAGATATTAAGAATGCAGGGCCGCATCCCCTTGATGATGATGATGAAGAGGATGACTTATTTGAAGATCGGTTTAGCATCGCTTACAATCTTGACAGAGAATTTGGGTGTGTGTTTGCCTTTTGGTGTTTAAATATTAATCTTCTATGCAATTTAGTACGGACAGTAAATATTGGGTTTTTCTTTGACAGGCCAAGGCTTAAGGAGCACATGCAATATTGCATGGAGCATCCAGAAGAAATAAGTAAGCTTTCCAAATTGAAGGCTCAAATCACGGAGGTCAAAGGTGTGATGATGGACAATATTGAGAAGGTAAAAGATTTATAATTATTGGCTATGAAACTTTTTTAACATATGGTTATTTTATGCATACATCCATTGATGCTGGTTTCTTCACTTGAGACCACGAGCTTTTTACATCCTGGATCTTCAAAAGAATGATATTGTGGCTTAATGTTATTATTTTTGTGTAAACATTGGAGTTGGTCGTAGGTTATCCCAACCCAAATTTTAGCCCAACTTGTTGGAGGATATTTTGGGGGTGGTTTAAAACCTAAAATTTGGGTTTTAACCTCTCCTTGGGGATATAGCCTAAAATTTGGGTTTTGAATTGGAGTATTACGAGTATAATTTTTTTTGAAGGGTATTATGAGTAAACTATTGCTTGTTAGTGGATTTTGAAAGGGATGGTATAGTGAATAGCTTTTATTTTATCTTATTTTTTTGTGTGCAGCTGCTTGTGATATTTTGTTTTCTTATACTTTTGCTATCTCTTCTTAAGCTCTCCTCCCATCTGTGGTTGAACCTTTGGTGGAGTTGGAGATGAGTGCATGGGGAGGGGGAGAACTTAGTTATTAGTTTGGGAAGCAGTTCATTATGCTTTAGGGGTGAGGTGGACTAACTGTAACAGTGGTGCCTTGGAATGTGTTGGATTTTTACTTTGTAATTTGAAAGGGTGCCATGAGATAGTCTTCGACATTGTTTTTTTGTCTTTTTTTCTTTCAGATTTCTATTGAACTTCCCGTCTGCTTCTAGTTTCAATTACGTTTGTATGCATCAAAGATTTAACAATGGATTTGTATCGGAGCTTTCATTCTTTATCTTGTGGATAAATTGCATCACTTTTGAGAAGTATGTGACAAATGAATTGACTTCCACTGTGAACTACTTTAAATAGGTGAAGTGAAGGATGTTAGGTGTAAAGAAGATCAATTAGGGATATAGGGAGTTGTCACCAGTCACCATCTCTGTTGTTTTGTGGATCTTTTGTTAAAATATGTTGGTTTTTATTTTCTACATTTCTTTTTTTTTTTTTTTTTTTTTTTTTTTTGGGGGGGGGGGGGGGGGGGGGAATGGGGTGTGGGTGGAAGTGATGAGAGTTGGATATTAATCGTAAGTATTGAGATAGGGCAGCTCGATTTATAGACTGAATTTTGGTACTTCCACTTGATTCAGGAAAGCCTCAGACAAGGTGGCTGTCTGTTTTAGATTGAGTCTTGATTAAAGTATGACTTGTAGAACGAAAACTCAGTGGAAGATATATAAAACTATCAGAGAAAACGACAGTAAGCATACAGGTTCTACTAGCACGACACCATTTATAGGAATCCACTCCTACAGGCCTTAGGTATCACACCCTGGGTTAGGTTGCATGATGGAGGAGTGAATTTAAAAATTCAATGAATTCGAGTCTTTCTACTTTCTTTTGTAATAGATGCAGTTTAGTCTGCAAGTTATTTCTGTTTGAGTATGATAATTATTGCTCTTCATTGTGCGTATAGTTATTAAGGGCTTATGGTATTCCTTGAATTGCGTATGGGATTTTGTAAATTCATTTAAGCAAGAAACATGAGTATTGTAATCAGTTAATCAGACTAGTTTGAGTTGTACTTGACCACCTGAATTATGATGCTGATAAACTTATGCTGAAATGCTGACAACAGAGAGGGAAGGTGGATCGAAATATTAATCATCCGGTGTTTTAAATATAACTACTTTTCAATACATAAATGTTATAAACCATATCTGATGGGATAGTTTGTTTCCATTGTGCTTCTGTAGAAAGAAATCAAGTAGCTGTATTTTTACCAAGTGTTCTAATATTTTTGAATCATCCAACCCATGAGTGGTCTGTTGTGAGTTGATTGAATCAATCTCATCTCTTGGTTGCAGGTTTTGGATCGTGGAGAGAGAATTGAACTTTTGGTTGATAAAACGGAAAATCTGCAGTTCCAGGTACATGACATCACTTACCTGATTTGGTCATATAATTTCAAAACCGGTTTGAGCTCACAAGGCATTTGTAGTTGACTTGCTACTTGGGATGTT